TCTCATCCATCCATCCAAGCATCCACCCACCCACCCATCCAATCATCCACCCATCCATCCAGCCAGCCACCCATCCATGCACCCATCCACCGATTCACCAATCCATCCATTCTCTATCCACCCTCTAGCCAGCCACCCATGCACCCATCCACTGATTCACCAATCCATCCATTCTCTATCTACCGTCCTATTTATCTATCCATCCATCCACCCACCCACCCACCCATCCATTCACCCATTTACTGATCGACCCATCCATCCACCTTCCTATCCATCCATCTCTCCAGCTACCATCAACTATCCATCCATCCATCCATCCGTTCATCCATCCGTCCATCCATCCGTCCATCCATCCATCCATCCATCCATCCATATATCGGTCAGCTCTACTTATCGTCTATGTATCTATCCCTATCATCCATCTGTATCGAGGTATCTATGCATTTATCATCTATCCACGTATCTGTCTACCCACCCATCCAGGTTATCTGTCTATAAACATAAATAAGCAAGCAGACATGTCAGTGTCCCCATGTTGGGTTCTTTCTCAGGACAACACTGACTGATACACCCCCTTTGAGACCAGACCCTATAAGGAAGCTGCATTTCTCCTGCGTCCTCACAGCCGCCGCTGTTCCCTCTCTCTCATCCACCCTCTGCTTCTCATCCTTTTGGGAATAGCAGCCATCCTGAGGGCAGAGAGGGGACAGAAGGTCTGGCCCTCCTTCCTCGCCCCGCCTGGACTCCAGGTTACAGTCCCTCACTGACTTACTTCCACCTGCCAAGACTCTCACGGCAAAACCCAAGGTCAGAGTCTCATTACCTTGCTCTGACTTCTCCAGGAGCCCCAGGGCTGCGCAGGCATCCAGAAGCCTCTCCATGCCGCACACAGAGGCATCCACTTTGCGGGCAATGTCCGCGGCCTTCTGGGGAGCTTCGTCTTTTAACAGATCGAACACCTTCAGCTTGCAGGCGGTGAACAGGGCCTGCCCGTTAAAAACAGGTGCGGGGGGACTCAGTGAGTCACTTGCCAAGCCCTTTTTCCTCCCACAGATGCTCCATGAGATTGTGGAGGCCAACGGTGTCGAAAGTGTTTCATGTGGCCGCGGAGTTTTCTCTTAGAGAGAGCAGTTGGGGATCTACAGGACCAAGTCCCCAGCTACAGCAAGGCGTGAAAGCACGTCAACGAATGTCATGCAGGAAAACCAGCCCACGGGAGGAAAATCAACATGCTACAGATATGAGCCGAGTCCAAAACCCATACGTTGAATCCCTAATCCCCCCAGTACCTCAGTATGTGACTCTATTTGTAGGCAGGTTTTTTTTTTAATTAAAAAAATTTTTTTTAAATTTTTTGAGACAGAATCTCACTCTGTTGCCCCCGCTGGAGTGCAATGGCATGATCTCCGCTCACTGCAACCTCTGCCTCCCAGGTTCAAGTGATTCTCCTGCCTCAGCCTCCTGAGTAGCTGGGACTATAGGTGCGCACCACCACAGCCGGCTAATTTTTGTATTTTTAGCAGAGACAGGGTTTCACCATGTTGGCCAGGATGGTCTCAAAGTCCTGACCTCAGGTGATCTGCCCACCTCGGCCTCCCAAAGTGCTGGCTGACAGGTGTGAGCCACTGTGCCCAGCCTGTAAGCATGGTTTTAAAGAGATGATTAAGGTAAAATGAGGTCATTTGGGTGGACCAGATCCAATGGGACTCTGGGGTGCTTATAGGAAGAGGAGGTGAGGACACACACACGCACAGAGGGACGACCCAGTGAGGACACAGGAAGAAAACGGCGTCTCCAAGCCCAGGAGAGAGGCCTCAGGAGGAGCCGGCCCTGCCCACACCTGGATCTCAGACCTCCAGCCTCCAGGACTGTGGGAGAATAAACGTCTGCTGTTTATAAACCTCCCAGTGGCCTATAAATTATAATATATAATTATAAATTACGTAATTTATGTATCTCTTCTTACAAGGACTCCAGTCCTGTTGGATTTGGCCCGCCCAAATGACCTCACTTTACCTTAATTATACATTATATAATTATATATAAATATATAGTTACATAATTATATGTTTAACATATATTCTAACTAATATATTAAATAATTGTAAGTTACATAATTACATATTTATAAATTATATATACATAATTACGTTATATAATTGTATATTTATATTAAATTATATAAACTATGTAAATTATATCTTATTTATATAATAAATTATATAAATTACATAAATTATATAACTTATATAAATTACATTCTACAAGTTATATAATTATATATAATTTATGTAATTATATAACATTTATATAATTTGTTATATAATTTATGTAATTATATTTATATAACTAAGTGATTATAATCATACAATTATAATTATAAATAAATTATAACTATAAATTATATTTTAAATTATAAGTATAGTTAATTCTTAATAAGGATTTCTAATTTAATAATTTAAATATGTAATTTAATAATGCAATTGTCAGCATTAGTTCATTTATCAGCCACCCAGTATTGACTTAACAGTCGGCACCCAGTAAGTTCGAGACACGGAGATGGAAGGTGCCGTGGCCACCGTTATTCCCTTATCACTGCATGTTCTCTCTGCTGCTCGTGAGTTATGGCAGGTGGCCGTCAGCCAGGCTCCCTGCCCCCCACAGCCTGCGCCCCTCCTGCACTCAGCATCCCGTCTGCTTCCCGGAGGATGCCCTATGAGGGACCCCTGGCCCTGGGAGGGCTCCATCCCTTCTCCGTCTGCTCTGCCGCCGTGAGGGGCCCCCAGGAGCCCAGACCTGCAGAACACTTAAAAGATGGAGCCTCAGACCGGGCGCGGTGGCTCACACCTGCAACCCCAGCACTTTAGGAGCCTGAGGCAGGTGGATCACCTGAGGTCAGGAGTTCGAGACCAGCCTGATCAACATGGTGAAACCCCACCTCTACTAAAAATACAAAAGTTATCCGGGCGTGGTGGTGGGCAGCTGTAGTCCCAGCTACTTGGGAGGCTGAGGCAGGAGAATCGCTTGAACCCGGGAGGTGGAAGCTGCGCGGAGCTGAGATGGAGACACTACACTCCAGCCTGGGTGACAGGTTTTGTGAAATAAAAAAAGAAAGAAAGACAGGCCCTCTCGGGAAAGAGGAGGGGCGTGGGAGCTCCGCTGCCTGCAGGGTGCAGGACCCGGTGGGAAGCCACTGCCCACCGAGCTCTGGGCAGAGAAGGCGGAGACCGTCCACGTGGAGGGGCTCTGCCTGGTTCACTACCCCATCTGGCCACAGTTCCCCATGGACGTCTCAGTGACCGGCTGCCCACACCAGCGGGATGGCTGCCCTGGGGTCACAATATCACAGGGGATGAGGGCACTAACCCTGGCCTGGTGTACCCTCCAGGTGCCACGTCCACCTCCCGCCTGGCCAGCGGGACTTCTGGACAGGTGAAGGCCCACATGTCCCAGGTATGGCGGCCTGGCTGACCCCGCCGGAGGAAGGCCCATTGGGGAATTCTCACATGTCCCATGCGGGGGGTCCTGTGAGTCCCGCCCGGCTTCAAAAGCACCCTGGACCCGTGCCAGACTGGCACACACCCAGCATGGTCCCTGCTTGCCAGCTACTCCCCCAAAGATGCAACCTCACCCTAATCCCCACTGCCGGGGAATGGGATTTTTTATTTTTTTTTAAACAGAGCCTTGCTTTGTGGCCCAGGCTGGAGTGCAGTGGTACAATGTCAGCTCACTGCAATCTCCGCCTCCCGGGTTCAAGCGATTATCCTGCCTCAGCCTCCCGAGTAGCTGGGATGACAGGCATGCACCATGCCCGGCTTATTTTTGTATTTTTAGCAGAGACGGGCTTTCACCATGTTGGTCAGGATGCTCTCCATCTCTTGACCTTCTGATCTGGCCGCTTCGGCCTCCCAAAGGGCTGGGATGACAGTTGTGAGCCACCGCGCCTGGCTGGGATCTTATTTGAAAATAAAAGGTCTCTGTGAGCTAGGGGAGTTGAGATGAGTTGGTCAGTGGATTAGGGAGACCTCCCTGTAAGAGACAGAGCGGGAGACGCAGGCACACAGGAGGAGGCCGCGTGGAGATGGAGGCAGAGACTGCACTGATGGGGCCACAAGGGATGCTGGAGCCCCTGGGAGCTGAGAGAGGCGGGAAGGAGCCTCCCCTAGAACTTTCAAAAGGAACCGGATACAACTGAGGTGGATTGAATTATGATACCCCCAAGAGATGTGTCCATATCTTAACCCATCTGCAGACAGGAGGAGGCAGAGACTGCAGTGATGGGGCCACAAGCCCAGGGATGCTGGAGCCCCCGGGAGCTGGGAGAGGCGGGAAGGACCCTCCCCTGGATCCTCCAGAGAGAACTGGATACATGTATAGTTGACCGAACTGGTCCTCCTGAAAGACTGGTCCACATCATGATCCCCAGAATCTGTGAATTTTAACACAGGTCCCTTGTTTTAAAGAGGGGTATTGGCTAGGCACAGTGGCTCACGCCTGTAATCCTAGCACTTTGGGAGGCCGAGGTGGATGGATCACCTGAGGTCAGAAGTTCAAGACCAGCCTGGCCATCACGGTGAAACCCCATCTTAAAAAAAAAAAAAAAAAAAAAAAAAAAAGGGGGGTCTTTGCAGATGGAGTTAAGAAAGATGATCGTGGAGAAGCGTGGACCCTGAATGCAATGACAGGTGACCTTCTAAGAGACAGAAGAGAAGATCCAGACCCAGACGACAAGGCCACGTGCAGGCGCAGGCAGAGGCTGCAGTGATGGGGCCCCAGGCCAGGGATGCTGGAAGCCCCAGGAGCTGGAGAGGCAGGAAGGAGCCTCCCCTATCCCCTCCAGAGAAAGCATGCCCCTGAGACACCTTCACCTCACACTGCCACCCTCCAGGACTGTGACGGCAGGACTGCTGTGGATTTAAGCCCTGTGTGTGCTCATCTGGGACAGTGGCCCGAGGAGGCAGACAGAGGTACCTTTGATACTTTGAAGCCATTGATGAGTTTCAGGAGGCGTGTGGGGAACGGGCACAGGGTCTCGGGGGTCCTGTTCCCCTCAGCCTCCGCCGTGGCCTGTCTGGCCACTCCAGCCTCGGCTTTCTCTGGGCGGCTGCCTGCGTTCCTCCGAGCGGGCTCTGGGCCGCCCTTGTCCACGTTGCTGAGGTCTTCGAAGGCATCCACGGCTGGGATGGAGTCGTGCTTGCCGCGCTGCAGGTCCTCGGGCCGGGGCGGAGGGTACAGCTGCATCAGCTGCTTGCAGAAGTGGTTCAGCGGGAAGCCCACGACGTTGAGGAAGTCCCCGTGCACCGACTCCACCAGCATCCCGCCGAGAGCCTGGATCCCGTAGCCGCCCGCCTTGTCCCTGGCGGGAGCAGGGGAAGAAAACAGGTGACCGCCAGGAGAAACGTCTCCCCTGCTTAGATATCCCACAGCCACCAGGGCCGGGCACGGTGGTTCATGGCTGTCAGCCCAGCACTGTGAAGGCCAAGGCCGGAGGGACACCTGAGGTCGTGAGTTCGAGACCAGCCTGGCCAACATGGAGAAACCGCGTCTCTGCTAAAAACACAAAGATTAGCCGGGCGTGGCGGCTCATGCCAGTGGCCCAGCTACTCCAGAGGCAGAGGCAGGACAATCTCTTGATCCCGGGAGGCGGAGGTTGCAGTGAGCCGAGACGGCACCACTGCGTTCCAGCCTGGGCGACAGGGCGAGAGTCGGTCTCAAAAAGTAATAATGAAAATAAAAAATAGGCCAGGCGCGGTGGCTCACACGTCACCCCAGCACTGTGGGAGGCTGAGGCGGGAGGATCACCTGAGGTCAGGAGTTCAAGGCCAGCCTGGCCAACATGGAGAAACCCTGTCTCTACTAAAAATGCAAAAATGAGCCAGGTGTGGTGGTGGGGGCCTATAATCCCAGCTACTTGGGGGACTGAGGCAGGAGAATCGCTTGAGCCCGGGAGGCGGAGGGTGCAGTGAGCCGAGATCGCACCACTGCGCTCCAGCTTCAGAAACATGCACAAGATTCCGCCCAAAAAAAAAAAAAAAACCTCACACCAGGGCTGCCTTCCACTTTGGGTAGTGAGGCCAGAGGATGCAAGAGAACCAGACGCATCTTCCCTGGGTGGCTTCATAAGGACAGTTCAGCGCTGGGCCGAGGCTCTTTTCTCTCTGTTTAATAAAACACTTCTATTTACTTTTTTTCACTTTTATTATTAGTTTTTGAGGTGGAGTCTCTCGCTCTGTCGCCCAGGCTGGGGTGCAGTGGTCTGATCTCGGCTCACTGAACCTCCACCTCCCGGGCTCAAGCGATTCTCCTGCCTCAACCTCCCGAGTAGCTGGGACTATAGGCCCCGACCACCACGCCTGGTTAATTTTGTTTTTATTTTTAGTAGAGACGGGGTTTCACCGTGTTCATCAGGCTGGTCTCGAACTCCTGGCCTCAAGTGATCCACCTGCCTTGGCCTCCCAAAGTGCTGGGATGACAGGCATGAGCCACTGCGCCTGGCCTATTTTTATTTTTATTATTTTTTGAGATGGAGTCTCACTCTACGGCCCAGGCTGGGGTGCAGTGGTGCGATCTCAGCTCACTGCAACCTCCTCCTCCCGGGTTCAAGCGATTCTCCTGCCTCTGCCTCTGACATAGCTGGGTTTACAGGTGCACGCCACCACACCTGGCTGATCTTTGTATTTTCAGTAGAGATGGGGTTTCTCCGTGTTGGCCAGGCTGGTCTGGAACTCCTCAGGTTCCAGGTGATCTGTCCGCCGTGGCCTCCCAAAGTGCTGGGATTGCAGGTGTGAGCCACCTCGCCCGGCCCAGACTTAAATCTTACCTTTGACCAAATGCATCTGTTTTCTATTGCGTAAGTGAGATCCGCTGGTATGTGTCTTCTCTACCTAGATGATTTCAGTGGAAATAGCATCCTCTAGGTTAACAGACCCATATATTGCGCGGACTCCATCGCTACGAAAACTAACACTGAAGTCAGCCCTGCATGCTGGAGCCTGTGCCTGTGGTCTCACCCACTCAGGAGGTTGAGCTGGGAGGATCGCTTGAGCCCAGGACTTCAAGACCAGCCTAGGCAACGAGGTGAGACCCCGTCACTACAAAAAATAAAAAAATCAGCCAGCTGTGGTGGTGTGCACCTGTGGTCCCAGCCGCTCGGGGGACTGAGGTGGATCATTTCAGCTTGAGAGACTGAGCTATGATTGTGCCACTGTACTCCAGCCTGGGTGACAGAGTGAGACCCTCTCTCTAAAAATTAATAGATAAAATTATTTCTCTATATTTTATATATATTATAAACATATGTTTTTATGCAAATATATTTACATACATGTTTATATAAACATCTTTTTATATACTTGTAATATAAAAATAGATTTTACTTTATATAATTATATATTTTTATAGAACATTATATGTTTATGTATGTAACATGTATAATCACATATATTACATTTAATTACTATATAATTACTCTGCATATAATTACACATATATAATTAATATGTACTAATTACCATGTAATTAAGATATGTATAATTACATATACATCAAATTGTATATTCATGTATTATGTTACATATAATTCTACATTATATAAGTATATATAATTATATATTAACTTACTATATGATATATATGATATGTAATTATATAATCTATTATAGTATCATATAATCTATTTTTACAGTATTATATAATGTATTATATAATCTATAACAGTATCTAATCATATTACTATTAGTTTATATGAATTAAAACTAATCATTAAACATTAATATTAATACTGATTAATATTAAGCATTAATCATTATATTACATATCTATAATATATGTAATATATTTATTCATGTTACAGTATAATCTATTATAATATATAATACATTATAATATACACATTATATAATGCATATAATTCATATATATTAATAT